TGAGTTGATGAAACTGAGAGCATATCGCCATCACTGCAATCTGAATTTTCATTCTGCACCACATTTACAGACTTCGATGAAGTATCACATTTCTCCCCAGTCTGCTTCTTCAGCTTTGGACAATCTCGCTTTATATGTCCTGACTCCTTGCACTTGTAGCAATGAATTGTACAATAAAAAAACATAAGAAAATGAAAATCAATACGAATATAAGGAATTTCTAAACAATCCCCCTTAATCAGACGAGCTAACTCAAGAAGAATCCTAACAGAGAAATTGAATTCTTGAGTCACCAATCCTCGCTTAACAATCTAGTTAGCGCACTGGTTCCCTTAACGATGAAAAAAAATCTAATGAACCTGCACAATCACATGTGTTCATAGGAAGAGGTCAGTGAACACAACAAAATTATCGTTCGATCTTCATTCTCAATAATCACATCAAGCCATGACAGGTCTGTGATTATTTGATTGAAGCCATTAACATGCTGCGCCAGATCAGACTCTTCTTGCATCATCTTTACATACAATTTTTGCTTCAGATACAACTTGTTCGTCAGAGATTTTGCTTTCCACTGAATTTCCAGTTTCTTCCAAACTTCTCCTGGAGATTTCAGATTCATCACGTGATACATAATTTCGTTTGCCAAACATAGACGTATCGTTGCTGTCGCTCGCTATTACAATTCTTCCCAATCTTCATCCTCCATGGCATCTGATTTCGTCGCCCTCAGAGCTTTCAAGATTCCTTATTGCGCCAACAAATCTTTTACCCTGGTTTGCCACAATCCGAAGTTACCAGTTCCGTCGAACTTCACCGCCTCGAATTTCGCACCATAAAATGCCATCTAAAATTATTCCTGTAACAAAATTTTCTGCAAAAAATTCCTCTGCAAAAATTCTTGCTTAGAACCCCTATCTTTTTTTCTTTCTTTTTTTTTTTTTAAGAAAAGAAAGAGAAAAAAAAATTGAAATCTTCGAGCAAAGCAAAAAATTTTCTCTCCGCCTCCAAGAAAAGAAATAAATATTTCCTTTATTTCCTCTCCTTATTCAGCAAAGAAAATTCTTAATTAAATTTGCTTAATTTAATTTAAATCAACTTAATTAAAAAAGATTCTTAATTAAGTGAATTTAAAAAAGAAAACTTTCCTTCACTAGCTTTCGTTTTGGAAATTCAAAAAATAAAGCAAACTTTCCTTTTCTTTTCCCTGCTCTCCTGTGGCAATGGATTCCTCTAGTTTCCCTTCCGGATTCCTTTCCAGCAAAGGAATATTCTTCCTCCGCTTTGAATTTCCTTCCAATTTCTTCTCCTTCCAGCGAAGCTTGATTAAAGGTTTCCTTCTGCAGCCTACCAAAGAATCAAAGATTCCTTGATTTCTCCGCTACTTTCCGTTTCTGTCCTTCTCGCCGAGACGTCCGCTCCTTTCCTTTTTCGCCTGATACCTCGCCAGCTCTGACGCCTCCGATTTCCCTTCGCAGCGCCGACAAAAATCTGAAACTTCGCCGACGACGCCTCCAGCAAAATTTTCCTTCGTAGTCCCGGCGAAAATCGGAACCCAACAGCCAATCGAAAAAGCTTCTCCTCCAACCTCGTTTGTTCGCGCAAAGCCTATCCACTTCCGATCTGACTGTTCGCGCGCGAAGCCAATCTGCTTCCTGCAGATCTCTACGCGATCCGCTTCCTTGAGCTGCGATCGAGAGTCCTGCAGCAAAACTCCTCTTCTCCCAGCGCCATGAAAAAAATTTTTCTTTCGTCCTCGAACCTTTGCTCTGATACCATTTGTTGAGAAAATTAGGGCGAATAAAAACAGTAATCGACACAAATCCAGAAGAACACGAAGATTTTAACGAGGTTCGACAAAGATGTCTACGTCCTCGGGAGCAGAGCGACGAGTTCCTTTCAATATTCAGAAAAGATGTTACAGAATTCAGGGATATCTCTTGAGGTTACTAACAGACCTATTTCGAACAATGAAAAGAATTAACCACACAATGCAACAACAAACAAAGTAGAGGGAACAAGTCTTTTTTACGTGAAATGACTCGCGAGCGAGCTGAAGGTAATTTAGCTGTGCGTTTGATTTCAACCAATTTTTTAATGTGAAGCTTGATATGGTATATGAGTCATACCATAACAGGTTCTTCGTTCCTCTTCTCTACTAGAAAAATTAAATTCACTTCATGATTAACCCTTATTTGAGACACCATAGATTTTACATAGGAATCCTGGATAACCACGGGGCCTGTCTCAATCAAAATTATCCACAACTATTTTCTTGAATTGGAGAAGATGAGATTATAGAGTTTTAACTTAGTTATAATAATTAAGCAAAAATAATCATGTGTTAGTAGTTAGGTTGCATCAGTCGTAAGATAGTAGTTTGGCTACAACAACCACCGGAGGAGGTTGATGATGAAGATTGGTGGTTGACTTAAAGTTATTCTATAGTGTATCTTTCGTATTGCAAATGGGGTCATATTTATGTTGTTTTGGGAAAAAAAGACTTTTTGGTAAATTTAGCCAAAATCCCAAAATACTCCATGGGATCGTTAATGTTAACTTTTTTATCATAAATAATTCTTTTAATATTTAAGTATCTTGATGATCTCAACATTATGTAATCTTAGGTTCTTTGAATTTTTCTTTTCGAGACACTACATTTAATTATTAACATGTTAAATTTGAATATCATTTGACCTTTTTTTAATTAGTACTTTAAAGTTTTGATTTCCAATCCTACTTCCAGTGCTTGATCCAAATTTCTTTATTCTCTGATTGAATTAATTTTATTGTTTTTGGGGGGTTCGTATTATAGAGATGTCATGTTTGACAAAAAAAAATGTTGAAATTGAAGTTTGAGTTATCTTAGTTTGACTCTGTAAAATTTTTAATACAATATGCATCGAAATTCATGCTTCTAAGTACTTTGAAGGTACAAAAATTGTTTATTATATGTTTATAAGTTTTTTTGAATTGCAATTGGGCCCTAAAGTACATTTATATTAGCTTTTATAAGCCAATGATAATGATGTTGATGGCATACATATGCTCACATGCCGACACCAAAAAATTGCGATAAGATTAATGATGATGATGATATATAAGCTAATATATAAAAAGTTGTCCTTTTCTTTGATATGTTCATTTAGTATTATCACAACGCTGAAATATATAATTCGGAAGAATTTGTTTGATAAATCCTAGTTGCGAATTTCACCATTTAATCTTCAGGTGGGAGAACTTAAGAAACTAGTGGAGGAAGGGAAGATAAAATATATAGGATTGTCGGAGGCTTCTGCTTCAACAATTAGGAGGGCGCATGCAGTTCATCCAATTTCTGCAGTGCAGCTAGAGTGGTCTTTGTGGTCACGGGATGTTGAGGCTGATATCATTCCTACCTGCAGGTTTGTTTTATATCCATTTGGCATTGTCAGAATGGAGGAGGGGGTTGATGAAATTTTTGCCCGTAAGCAATTTCCCTCTTTTATCTACTTAACAGGGAACTTGGAATAGGCATTGTTGCATACAGCCCACTTGGGAGGGGCTTCTTTTCTTGTGGGCCGAAGTTAGTTGATGAGCTATCCAGCGAAGACGTCCGCAAGGTGCATATATTTGTACTTGGAATTTTTTTTCTTTAATTTTACAGTATGCTTTATAGCTTATTAAATAATTACAATTGGACCGATTGGCCACTTTTCCCTTTAGAATAATTCCATTTCCTGCAGAAAAAAACTAGCAATCTATTTTGCATGTCTTGGTTTTATCCAGCTTACAATGAGATCTAAATATCCCTTTGCTTTTTCTTGGTGATGAATGTAACTCAACTAACTTAAGGGTATTTCTAAAATTAATAAATTGCAGATGCTGCCAAGATTTCAACCTGAGAATTTAGAAAAAAATGCTGAAATATTTGAGCGAGTGAATGAAATTGCATCCAGAAAGGGTTGTACGCCCTCACAACTTGCACTCGCTTGGGTGCATCACCAGGGAAGCGATGTAGTCCCCATTCCTGGCACTACCAAGATTGAAAACCTCAATCAGAATGTTGGGGCACTATCTGTGAAGCTTACGACTGAAGAGATAGCTGAACTTGAATCATATGCTTCTGAAGATGCTGTGAAGGGTGATAGATATAGCACCGGAATGGCGACCTGGAAAAACTCTGAGACCCCTCCCCTTTCCTCTTGGAATGTTGAATGATGGTGCATTTATTGCTGTTTTACAGCTCTGAGAAGAATAATTTCTGCGTGCCTGTTCCTTTCTTGAGCAGCTTGAATAAGTTATCCTTGGATGAACTTAAAGGGTGCTTTTGCCACTTATTTCTCGTAATCACAATGATAGGATTGTAATAAAACAAGTTACAATTATGAGATTTAATCATTGCATTGTTCTTTGGACCTGCAATTTTTAAACCTGCAATTGTTCATATTTAGATGTCCTTTTTGAGAAGCTTAGGTTTTGAATATGTAAATCCTAATTTTAGATTACCATGTGTGTAAATCCCTCTAAATTAAATGCAAGCGAGGAAAATGAAGGGGCCGATCAAGGCATATAGGATGGCCAGTTTGCAAGCTAAAATATTTAAAATGACACAAATTACCCAAAATATCTCATAACATGATGACTTGGTGAAACAAAGCCGTCCAACAGAATGCAAATAAATAAAACATCAAATGTAAAACTATAATGTTATATGTATCAAATATTAAAATTGATGATGATCATCATCATGATGATTAAGATACTTTGCCTTAGCACTCCGGCCCATCTTCAAAGAATTCACATATAATTAATACAAGCATAGGCTCAAGCATCACTACTTGTCCTAAATCAATCACAAGTCCTGGGGAGAGGTAAGAGAATTTTTCCAATAAACAAAAAAATTTATGAATGCCTCCATTTTTTAAGACAATCAATTGACCATCTAGAATAGGATCTCAATGATGTGATGTTATATATATATATATATATATATATATATATATGAATTAATGAGTGGAAGCTTGATATATAATCAAGTTTATACAATATGTTAGATAATTAGAAATAGTGATTTAGCATAAAATGAAAGCTAGATTTATTGAACAAATTAACAATTAATCACAAATCTAATTATGCAACTAGTTTATAAGAGTAGGGGTACTTATCTACATTTAATGAATGGACTGCTTCTTAGAGTATTCAAATTATAATCACAATTATAATTTTTATATCACTCAAGGCTATTAGATTATGCATACTAACTATTAATCAAATCCTATAATAGACACAATATAAATTTAATAATAGAGTTAGAAAATGATTAGCCTAAGTGAGTGATTTATGGCAATCGAACATATAATTAATGGTTTTTTCAACTGTACATAATTTATTTACTAACAATACTCGATAGGTAAGTTATGAAAAAAATACATGTAAGGTGAAGTAAGCAATGTTATATGATAACACTTTAAACTTATAAGAATAAGGTAAACGTCCAAAACATTTAAGCTTACCAAAATAAAATAAATATATAAGTAAATAAATTAAGTACATGAATTGAAGCAAGCTATATATCAAATAAGGAATATAATTTTTATATGATTCCATCAATATCATGTTTATATTCACAAATTGCCAACACATGACTGGGATTTTCACTATTCCGATTTAGCCATCATAAATCCACACTTTAATAACAACCATACTTCTCACTCTTCTACACGTGCAACCACACTTTCATAAATTTAAATGAAGTGTTTCGTGACTTGATTTATACTTAACAAAATAAAATGAAAATTATGTATGAAATTTTGCAAAAATACTTGAACTAACAAATTTTTTTAATAACATTGACACCAACCTTTGCTAGCATGGTTAAGACATGATGGACACTAAGTGTCTGTTTGGGGCAGCAGCAGCTTTGCTGCCTCAGAAAGCTGTTATGGGGAAACTGCTGCGGGGAAGCTGACTGGTTGTTTGTTTCAGGTGTGTTGAAAACACGTGCAGGAAAACAGCTGCAGGGCAGTTATTTCTGAAAAAATGACCATTCTACTCCTGTTTAGTAAAGTTGTTTGAAATGAAACTGTGACATCTTTATATTTGATACTTCAGAAACAGAAATTCACTTCAAAATAGTACAAAAATTCAGATACACAACTCACTTAACATTGAGTATTGAAAGTGCTAAAGAAAAAGAAAAATAAGTTAATAAGAACTTGGTTTGTCAGTTCCATTGCTCGTGTTTGTGTTGTTATTTTTCTATGGTCAAGAGTTTGTGTGTGTAATCCTATTAAAGTTCAGCAATAATATTATCATTTCTTTTGTGGTATGGGCTTCTTCTTCTCCTCTGGTATCAAATTATTAAAAAGAGGAAAAGTTAATAAGAACTCAAGTTGTCAGTTCCATTGCAGCAGATTATTGTTAGAAGATGGGAAAAACACCACTTTAAAGCAGTTCCTTTAATGGAGGATTTCTCATAAGAGAGATTAACAGAGATCAAAGCATAAGTAGAAAAGATCAAGAGAAAATGGGGAGCAAGAAACTCTCTGCAATTTCCTGCATCCGCTAGCAAAAAAATAATTATAGAACCGTTGTGGAACTTTAAACCACTGCTCCAGTTATTGCATTTTCTTTCTTTATTCGAAAAAAGATATCATCTTTTTTTAAAACCAAAACATTCTAACACATCATTGTCAAAAGTTCAATCTCACCACTGATAACTTCTTAAGCAGCAGCAAAAAATGACGAGGAAACCAATTTAATAGTAGGCCACTGAAAAAGCAGCCACAGAAGAACCCATAAACTAACGAGTTAACTTGGCTGAGATCATGAAATACATAGACCATCATTGTTCATGAAATACATACACTTCATAAGAAAAAAAAGAAAGAGCATTACTATAAATAGTAAAGTATAATACTTAGACAACAGAAAAAGAACCATAACATAAGAAAGTAAAGCCTAAAGAAGAAGCTGAGAAACAAAGAACTGGACATCTTTATATGATAAAAAATAGGTTATATGTGCGCCTCAATATTCAAATAATAATCATTTCAACAAATGAAACATGATTTGCTTGTGCTCTTAAAAACTCTGTCATTGACACAAGAGAAAGAAGATATCACCCAAACTTCATTCCCTTATCTTGCTATGAATTTAATATTATATTCCTTAAACTCTCAGTTCGAGAGGATGAGACAGAAACAACTGGTAACAACTACACCATTTTCCATGGATTGGATCACCTGAAGGTTTTCCTTTCTAAAAATTGTAATATAGATCCTATTAGCCATTAGTTTCATTGATATCTATTAAAATCTCATATGCCACTTACTTCTTGTTGTAGATCACAGATCATTTTCATGTTTATTGTTTAGCGTTAACAATTTGAAATATAATAAAATTATTTTGTAAGAACTGAAATGATAAGTAAATATTGACATAAATTAGATTTCTCTGCATGTGTAAGACTGCAAAAAAGAAATAATGGCATTGGATCACACTGTCAACTTCTAAAAATTCGATCAGAGTAATTCTGAGGATAGAAAATTGATTAAACTTATAGTTTTCTCAAAAAAGGTTGGGCAGGGTAGATTTTTTACATGAAAAACAATGGAAGTGTAATTATTATTTTGCAGAACATAAGTCAACCACATAAATCAAATTAAAAACATAAATCATTATCTGAACAAAGGAAACATATAAATTTACAAAATTATTGTAAATTTACATTATAGGTGAATGAACAAATTTCATGCATTCAAAGCTTTCTTTTCTTTTTGAACATAAAAGACATGACTCTGCCCAATTCTGTAGAGATATAGACTATTTTGCTTTTCTTCATTGAAGACATCACCTAGGTAACACTAATCACCACATATGGATCTAACTCCACCAATGAAACTCAACCAAATAAAGATATATGAGGCATATAACCATGAAGCCAGTCATATATCAAGCGAAGCCATGCATGGATAATTCGGACAAAAGATAACAAATTATTGTAATTTGTGCAGTACCAAAGAAAAAAAGGGCTGCAAATAGATGAAAGGATGATAACTAAACAAATAATACCAAAGGAGAAAGAATTGGGTAGCTGGACGAAGAGTTAAATCTCACCAGTTCAGACTAACTTCATCAATTTGAAGTGTAAAAGCCAGAAATCACCATAACAGAAGATCAAAACAAGAGCTTGAACATTCTCAAATAGAAAAGAGGGGGCAAAATTAAAATAAGGTGCACAGAGAATCAAATTCTTAAACTGCTAAGCCTCCAGAAATGCATATCAAGCTTAATTCACACAATCGTCGCTCGTAAATCAGTGCATCTCGTTAGCAGCATAAACTGAAATCTACATATAATGAAAAAGGAAAAAAATAGGATGGTAGAGGATGAAGAAGATGAACTCGTCGACAGTTCTTTTGTAAGACTATCACTTAACATTAATTTCAACATCGATGCTCGATATCACCAGTGAAATCTGGCACCCACCATCGTGATTATTATTTAATGTCAGCACCGAGGTTAACACGTGTTGTCATCAATGTCTTTGTTTGTTATTATCCTCAATATCAAATCCCATCATTTCCGCCAACACTAATGCCTGCCAAATTTATAATACCTGATGCCTATCATTTCTAATAACACACAATCAGAATGTTGCCACCAAAGTTGATGTGCATCATTGTCACCAAGGTTGATATACATCATTATCACCAAGACCACCACTGAAACACCAAACATACACCAACACCACAAAGGTGACATCTACAATTACCACCAATAGCAACACATGTCATTGTCATAATTGACAATGCATAATGTTGTCATATAAGCTGACATCTTCCATCTCCAACAAGATCAATGCCTTTTTTGTCACTAAGATTGGCACCCATTGTTATCAAGCAATCCAAAGCCATCATTTTGCACATGGTTGGCAACGATTGCCAATGCCCTTTGCACCACTAAAGATCAATGCTCATTTTATGGTCGCTAATGACTAAATCTTATAAGAAGAACAATTAAGCACACCATCTTTCATCACTTCAAGATAAATTTAATGGCTCAAGGCACCCACTTTCTATGAATTATTCTTGGCTTATCTTATCGACACGTGAAACAATTTTATAAAATGTAAAGGTAAACTCTCTTTCAATAATCATTAACAATCCAACACTCCATTAATCAATAAATTCTCCCTTTATTTTTAAGTAAAGTTGATAATCTTATTATTTAACAATATTTTTCATTACTAAATCATGTGCATGGCTTAAACTTCTAAAGAGGCAATTTCTTACAAAAGTAAATTAATATTTTGGCTTAAATGACATCTACATTTTTTGCCATATATAAATTATAAATTCTAAATTCAATACCACATCTTTTTATTAATTCCTAAAATGATGCTTGATTAATCTTTTGGATGAGGATA